CCTAAGAAGTAAGATTTAGAAGCAGGAAGAACAAAAAACTGAAAAATGCTTTTTTCATATATATCTTTTTGCTGTGCCTTGTAGACATTTCTATGATAATTGTAGATGTTCTTTGGGTTTGTCTACATTACATTCAAAAGTGTGGCTACAGCTCATATTCCAGTTACTTTTAAAGGAAGTTGTTCTGGGGCCAGTAACAGTATTGCCACAGAAATGCAGAGAGCAAACTGTAAACTGAAAAGCCCATCTGGGATCCTGAGTATCACTTTTTTGCCTAGCCTAAACTGCTTTAAAGCCAGCTTGGGCATATCTTTCCTGAACTTCAGCCACACCTTTAATACACTTATAATACAGACATGCCCCATAACTCAGCTTTTTGTGTTTCTACTATCTTGGACTGCTTTGTAAAACAAATTGGCTTTGAAGAGGGGAAACTGTAGCTACCTCGTCTTTCCTTAAAATCCCTCTTTAACAGGCTTCTACATATATGAAATGAACAGATACAAACTGTATTAATTCCATAGGAGGAAATAGATTGGTTTGTATTTGAATTCCTGTTCAAACAAAGATAATATTTTCAATAGATAAATGTCACTTACTTCTCATGTTGTAAGCTATGAACTGAACCTGTTCATGTCCAGTTCATTTTTTTTACTGCCAAATAAATCTTCATATAACAGCTTTCCAAAGAGTGGTCTCATTAAATGTTCTCAAATAGAACAGTGTGTATTTCCCATGGTCCCCACATTCCTTAGGGTAGCTAAGTCCAGATAGGCATATTTTCCTGAAAGTATTTTATTTGGACATATGGTTCTACAATACAAGAACAGTTTTCTGATTCCTTTGCAGAGTTCCTCTGGTTGTGGAAACAGCAAGGTTGTTGCTCGCGTAAGTGCACTTTTTCTCCACTGTATATAAGGGTTTGGCCCTAACAAGAAAATGAACATTTAGTTTACTCTTGATTTAAAAAAAAAAAAAAAAAAGGGGGGGGGGGGGTCCTAACTTATATGGTGCTACAATCTTCCTGTGGAGTGTCAGATACCTTCAGCATCTATTTCTTGTCAGAGGTATCTTGTTGGATTTGGGGACTATACTGAAATGAACTGTCATCCTGTGAGCTGAATATAGGAACAGGGTATCACTGAAATCAGAATTTAGTGTGCTAACAGTTGGTGGCAGACATTAAGATGGGCTTTGACTGGTCTCTAATCAGTGCTTTAATGCATAAATATTTATGAACTAATAATCTCTTGTATTATAATCATGTATTAATTATTTTGTTTGTTTGTTTATGTATTAATTATTTAATTCATGGAGCCAAAGAACTCTTGGTGTCATAAAAAAAATATAATCCATATAAATCCTCATTCCTGAGTATACATATTAAACACTTCTCCCACTAATAGCTAATATTTTTTTCACAGGATCTATCCCATGTTCTGCACATTAGGAGTCTCAGTGAACAGGTAAGCAATGCCTATCATTCTTTCCAGAATTTTCCTGAGTTAGCCACAATATTGCTAATATTAGAGGTAGTTGTTATGTTATTTGCAAAACTAAGAACTGTTCTTCACTTGAAGGCTAGGTACAGATATTCAAAAAGCCCCAGGCTGAATTGATTCAATCTTTGTAGGTTAGTTTAAGCTGTGTAGATTGAACCAATAAGCAAGTGAACAGACATTCACTTTTGATTCCAGAAGTGCAGCCACATGGCTGCAGTGGCCCAGGCCAGATGCCAAGGGGTGTTAAAGCATCCCTCCATGCTCAGCTGGAACAGACAGGTTGGACCAAGGCTAGCCTGCCCACCCTGCGAGAGGGAGATTTGTCAGGAACGTGCAAAGCATCCTTGGGATGCTGGGGGGCTGTGAGTTAACTTGAATCTGAAAAGGATCTGGGACAGAAGTTCAATAAACTGTTTTAACCTGAATCAGTTAAGTCTGATACTACATCCATCCAGATTTCTCTTAAACTGGTTTCAGCCATTTTGAAAGTATTTTATGTGAACTGAGCTCTTTGGCAACATGGGGGCATAGGGAGTGCACCCCTGAGATCAGCCATGCACCTCCTGGAAGCACCAGCTGCAGAACTGGAAGTTTAGCTGCTGACTTGGTGATCAGCCACTGAGGGACCTCCCCACCCCAATTGGTGATTGGCTGCTGGGGGACACCCTACCCCCTCCACCAGACTTGGGAGGCACCAGTCGCCCGTGACTGAGCTTCTGTTGCGTTACAGATTTGAACCAGTTTCTGGTCATTTATATTAGTTTATGTGTAATTTCTGTCCTTAGCCTAAAAGGAGATGTGGCTTTTCAACTGACTGGGAAAGACTTCCTAAAAATAAATGCTATTGGTTATGGGTCTACTTGCCTTCTTGACTGGCAACCTCCCTGTTAAACCAAAGTAGATTCAGAAGATAGCTTTTTATCAGTAGTAAAACTAGAGGTGGGCAAGAGGGGTACCAGTGCCAGACATGAACTTAGGAGGCGTGCCAAAATCATCCCCATACAGAGTCTGTGCCCCAGCAGCAAGAGCAGCACCACAGCATTGCTCTTAAGCTGGCTGCTACTCTTTTAAGAGCAAGAGCCAGGGGAGACAGAACACAAAGCAGCAACAAAACTTGTCCAGTGCAATTTAATGGAGCATTTCCTGCTACAAGTTCTTTCTAGACTAAATATCTTGTGTGTATAAACATAGAGAAACAAGAGGTCCCTTTGCCTATGTGTACTCCTAGCCAACAAGAGTGATAATTTGGCTCCATTGGTACTCCATTTGCAGGGATATCTAACTCTATCCTGTAGAACTATATTATTTAATCTATTGCTATAAAAGAAAAATGGCTTATTTCTGGTTCCCTTACAGAATGGACCTGCTACATCAAACAGCCGCGATGAAAATACTCAGGTAATGTGATTTCTACTGTAGTTAAGATCTCATCACCTAAAGATGTTCAGTAAATAGCCATTTAAATTTCACAAATTGTTTTCTCCTTATTCAAAAATTCAAAAGAAAAACAATATTTGTTCATAACCTAGAATAAAAATATCAATTTTCATTTGATTTCTTAAACTCTGGCAGCTGCAATTCACTGTTAAGACACCTGTTAATAGCAGACGTTTTCAGGACAAAGTTACCTTTCAGAATGTGTGTCATACTTTGGACCTATTTCAAACAGCTGTAAAAGACTGCTATTCTAGTCCAATAACATTTTCTACATACTGTACTCTTACTTTTTAGAGTTGTATATGACAGACTTACAAAACAATGGAGAATTAAGCTTTATCTCTTGTGCTCCTTCACTGCCTTTGGCAGATATGTAGGGAAGGTTCATGAATCCTGGTGTTTTGCAGAAGCCTTTTTACAAGGAAATAATTGGCTTCTAGTGTTCTTTATAGAATTAATTCTCTTCTATAGTAGTGGCAAAGTCAGTGATCAGATAAGCACCTCTATTCCTCTGTAGTTAGGAGTTGCTCACAAGATTCATCTTTGTAAGTGAACACATATGCATAAGAAAGTAAGTCCCTTAGTTGTGGTGAGTGGGTTTTTGCAATTTTATTAACATAATGATATAAAAACTGAAGTTATTTGAAATCATCTGACCTGATGTGGCATGTTGATTTATTTCTGTTTCACATTGTTACAATGCCTGAAGGTCCCAGTCAAGGATCCAGGGCCCCTATGGACCAGATATTGTACACATGAAACTAAGATGGTCCCTGTCACAAAAAACTCAGTTTAGGTCAGTCTTACCATCACATCTCTAGGCTCCTGTGAGCATCTCATTCCTCACTAAGGTTCTCCAAAACCATGTCTACATGGATCATTTCCAGCCACTGAACTGACTTCATCAGAGTACATGACCCAATTTTGGCTGCCATTGAAAGAAAGAGGTATCTACTGGTGTTGTTTGGTGGAGAGAAATAATACAGAGTCTGTGATACTTCATCAAGCAGTTACATATCATTAGGCATTTGAATAAGCCTTTTCATCAAAAAAAATCTCTGGTTTCTTTATAGGATGGATCATTTATTGCACACAGTGACAGTTCCAGGGGCCAAGTAAGAACTTTCTCCATTATATCTAATCTTCTCCCAAATGCTTTCTAGCCACTGAACACACAAGAATCAGAAATAAGGTCCACTAATTCTGGTATAGGGGTTTTGAAGCATTATGTACCAAGTTATTCTTGAAGAAATGCTGTTTTATTCTTTGTTTATCCAAAATGACACTATTGGATCAGATCTCAAGGCTGCTACATTTATATACAAATGTACAGTAGTTTTAACTGATGGAACAAAATGTAATACCCTTTACTCTGATTCCCTGCTGCCCTAAGAATTCATTATCCATGTGACCCTTATGTGTCCCCAAAATTAAACGGTATCAGGTTGTGTTGCCTATTTACTGTGCTGTAACACAGAGGTCTCAGTCACTCTGGGATGTCGCAAACTTTCCCCAACCTCAGTTCTACCTCTGAGACAGCAGTGCATCTAAACAGAACTTTTATAAGATAATAACTAGTTTCTTATTTTCAGGGAGGCTGTGTTTGCCCTGGTGACAGTAGAAGCCCTGTCCAGGTAACCATTTCTTTTTTTTGTGTATTTAGAGTGTTAAGTAAAAGTTTCTTTTAAGTGCATATGTGGACCAGATGCACTAATGAGGGATGAAAACTTGCTGAAAAGCAATATGACTCATTTCAGGGTCTTTCTATACATACAATTACATATAAAGCTATAAGATGACTGGTTTTGATTCCCCCATGAAATATTAGATATTCTGTAGTTTGGGGTACTGATATGAAAAACGAAGTGGATATACTATCTTGTCTGTTGTCCTTCATTCTTGTCAGGTACCTAAGAACAGGACAGTTTGCTTTCCTGAAAGATTACTGTATAGCAAGAAGTTCATATAAGGATATAAAACCATTTTCTTGTTGTATACAGGCTGGAACTTCCACGTACAGCAGCAGTGGCTCTTCTGGCCAGGTGAATATGTTTTCTCAGAGTTAGATGCCCCCAGTATCCTAGTTACTGTGTCCACTGTATTGAAAGCCAATGGGCAATGCTAAATGGTGTCTATTATTGAATTTTGATCAGGAAAAATGCATTTTCCCCATTGCACCAGATGAATTTAAATACAGAATGAAACTTCCACATACAGTAGTGGTGGATCTTCTGGCTAACTGGGTAATCTTTCTCAGAGCTAAATGGCCCCTAGATACTCTGTTCACTTCATTAGAAGCCAATAACCAATTCTAAACCGTGGTTATTACTAAACGTTGATCAGAAAAGATGCATTCTCTCCAGTGCATCACCTTAATTAAAATGGTTTTAATAGTAATTTAAATTAAATTAGTACAACTTGGTGTCTAGACAAGACCCAAATCCTCCATTCACTTTAGTTTCTGAATTTTTAATTTCACCTACAGTGTACATATACTCCACAGAAAACCATGGGTTATTTTCATCTAGGAATACCATTCCGTAAAATGAAATCTTTCACAGAAAAATGACACTTACCCTGTGTGTTCTGAAAACTGAATGCAAACACACCCTGATTTTAGGAGCCAAATTTTAATCTTTTCTCTTTTATGAATCTTCCACCAGTGAATCTTTTGGACAGGTAAAAATACATTTGCTTCCTTTTTAAGAACTGACTCCCAATGAACTGATCAGTAAAAGACAGGTATGAAGCTGCAGGTCAGTTTTCTTGTACTGTGGCCCATTTTCTAGTCTGCTTTTCTACCTAGCAGCTTAGTGTAGGACCTATCCTGTTAGAGTAGCTTATCTGCAAAACTGTAACTGTTCTTTGTTTTCTCTGCAGGATGGACCTTCCCCACAGAGCCCAAACCAGTCTGATGATAAGGTATATGCCCTTTCTCCTCTGTATGAAGATCAGTTTTCTGCTTTCTGATTCTATCCTTTATCTTCAAATTCAGATCAAAATTAATCTGTTGTAATGTAGAATGAGTTGGTCATTTTGTCTCCGTAGTAATCTTAGTTTTCTTGTTACTAGATAAAATATTGGGGGGCCCCATGTTGCCTCCACCCATCCCACATTCCAGGATTGGACCCCAGGGAACCCACACTTCCTCCACCTCATCCTGCATGCTAAGATCAGGCTTTCAGAGCCCTGCACTGTCTCCTCCCAATCCTGTGTGCCAGGATTGGGCTTCAGGGGCCCTTGCCATCCTCCATCCCCTCATGTCAGGATTGGGTCTGACACTGCCCTGCATGTCCAATCTAGCACACAGAATCACAGCCCACAGAACTCCCCATGGACCTGTGACACAGTGGTGGTGGCTGGATCTGGCTCACAGCCTAAGGGTAGAGCACCCCTGGACTAGAGAAGTCACTCTAATCTATTCTTCCCAACAAAAAGAAAAATAAAAAACTATGTGTGTTATTTAAACAGTCTTTGAATTAATTGGTTTACCTTTTTTTTGCAGGGTTCATCTTCCTCAGGAGGCACTCAATCTGTTGAAAGGGTAAGAACTCCTCATCTTGGGCACTTACACACATGCCCAACACCTGCTTCAGCGCGGTCTAATTAGAATGCCCCAGTAGCCTTGGCATCCCATGTATTCAGCATCCCTGCATTTCAAAATGGCATTGGGATGCTTTAACTAAAGCTTGTTGAATGAGCTGTAGTTAAAGCACCTGCACCACCATTTTGAATCTCAGAACACTGAATACACAAGATGCTGTGGGCATTTTAATTAGAGCGGCTCCTGAGAGCCACTCTAATTAAAACACCCCTCACCCCAGACCATATGTAAAGATGCTCAATGATTTCAACCCAATTAATATCTTTTCCCTGAAAAGAACAGTGGTCAACTGTGTATAAAAATGGGTCATGTGTTTGGCTATTATGTTACATTTCCACATTCATTTTGTAATTATATATACACTTTGGTTTCAAGATGCCCTTTGATATAAAAGTAACTAGTTTTCCATCCTTTACAGAGTTCTTCTTCCTCTGAAGGCAGTCAGTCTGGTGGACAGGTAAGCACAAAATTTCCACCATATTGATCCAAAACTGGACTTTTCACTGAAATATAGAACTAAAGGAATATAGAGGTATCTAGCTTAGATTTCTTTCAAGAAACTTCACAGAATAGCAATGTAGAATCAATGGAGACAATATAATATTAACTCTCCATCATTTTTAACACAGACAAATAAGTTTTTTAAAAAAAGGATAAAGAGTAGGGGCTCTTCCATCAAATAGGCCTTGATTTAAAGAAGACTAATGAAAAAGAAAGTAATTGTTTCCATTATAGTTGGGGTGGGGTATGCTTAAGCAGTAAACTGAAGAAATGACTGCAACACAGGTAGGCAGAATTTTGTGATCTTTAGTCTTTAATGGTGTTAGCACAAGTAAAGATAGCTGTGAAGCTGCAGCAGCACAGGCTTCAGGATATTTTTAATGATCAAAGCACATGTCAGCATATATTTGGTTACTGATACTATAACCGTGCCTTTATTTTTGCTGTTGAAGCATGACTTTGATTTCAAAAAGTACTTTCACACTTAAGCAACTGGTTTCTCATCTTTTACAGGGTTCCTCAGGAGGTAGTCATTCTGCTGGACAGGTAAGCATTCTTCATTCAGAGTGTTTCTTGTTTGGTTGGTTTTTTCCCCCCAAGGCTAGAAAATTAGACTTATCTTTTAGCTGGGTGAGGAAGAAAAAGAAAAAAAAATCCATGTTTAAATCATTCATTTTAGATTCTCATTTTCAGGAGTATGGAAGGGCTAAAAACATGTGTAAGCTTGAGAGCTGGTTCAGGTTTTGTTGGTCTTTCATTGCACAAAAGACAGCAAGAAAGTGTCTTCCCTTCCAACATGCCTTGATACAAAGAAACCCTCTGACACAAAAATAACTGATTTTGCCTCTTCTCTAGGCTTCCTCTGTTTCAGGAGACAGTCAGTCCAGTGATGAGGTAAAAATTCTTCTCACAAAATTTGTGTTTAAAGTTCTTCCTTAGTATTCCCCTTAAATGTAAATCTGATACTTTACTGGTTCTTGGAAGTAAATGAACATCTGAATTTCCAACACAGTTTTAGTTTTACAGAAATCATCTTTGAAATTTTCCATAGAAAAAGATTATAAAATAAAATGAACTAAAAACTAAATTTTTATTTTTAGCTTTGAGATGGGTCCCTTCATCAAACTGTTCAGGAAATGGAACAGGATCCTTTAAATGGAAACATGTGATTTCTCACTTTTTGGAAATTATACCTATCATAGTATCATCGCCATTAAAAAACATTGCCTATTCCCAGGCAAACAGATCTTTTCCAAAGAAAGCATATCTTGCTTTAGTAAATAGTGAACACTCCTGAACCTGTGTTTTGCTCTAAGACCTTTTATAATACATTTGGAGTTGGAAATTAGAAAAGGGATTCTAACCATCAGACAGGTGAAGTTCTGGAACAACTGCCCAGCAGGAGTAGTGGGATCCAGAAATCTAACTTCTGGTTTGATTGAGCTTCATCAGGCTGCATTTTCGTTATAATGATAGAGTGGCAATATCAGGGATGTGGGCTCTGTTGGATAACTGAGGAGGTCCCTCATTTGTAATTAAGACAATAACCCTTTCCTGTTTCCTTTACAGGAAGAATGTGCGTCCTCTAAAGAGAGTTCAGTAAGTGTTTAACTCCCTGCATGGACATATTTCCTTTTTTGTCAATTATCCATGTTAACATGATCAGATCCATTTATTTTTGTGCAATAGTCTTTTCAGCCTAAATGTCCCTGTGGCTAACTTTATATTGCTTGAGATGAAAATAGATATTTCACATTATTAGGTGTTTGGAGAGGGGTGTACCTTTGCTGATTCACACAGTAAGAGATATGCTTAATTTATCATGCAGCATAGCAGTCGACGGATTCTGGTTTTCTTGAGCAGCAGTGTCTTTCCCTGCAAGAACAGACCTGATTTCACCAAGTGCTTGGTTTTGCCAAAAAAACGTAACTCGAGCCAAAGAATGTGCAGTGCCAACTCCGTGGTGTGCCCAAGCATGAAAATCTGTCTAGGAGCAGACTAATTTACCTCACCCCCCTTGCCATTTCTGCTGATACAATACACCTCAACAAAGTGACTAAAGAAAAGACTGTAAAATAGGGCAATAAGTGCTAACCCCTGCAAGGCTTTGGACAATCAGAACTGTAATGTAAAACAGGAAAAGTCCCCGCTTAGGGCTTTCCTTAAGTTTCTAATACTAATACCCTCTAATCAGCCATGGTTACACAGGTAATATATATAATACCTGTATATAATACAGGCAATATTCATGGACCTCATGCCAGTCTTGGTAAATGGAGCAGGTATTAAGTCAGAATCATGGCATTTGTCTCTGAAAATATTAGAATGGGGAGTGGTGAGAAGTGGGAATTTTATTTTTTTGTCTGGTGGGAAGAGATGGTTACATTATTTTATCATATTTTTTCTTTTTCAGCATGACTCTCATACTGTACTCAGAAGTCACCCCTCATCAGGGGTAAGCAATGTCTTTCTGTGTTTTGCCTCAGGCTGGCCTGTGTTTAAAAAATTGCATTTTAAAGAGCTTCAGAAAGTAAAATCATGCTCAGTGAACCAGGTCTTCTAGAGTCTTCTTCCATTTACAAAGAAAGAACTGCTTGAGATGAAGCTTGTGAGCTTCTTAACATTCAGTTCCCTCTTCTATTTGAAATACTGTCCATGTGAGAGGCAAGGATTCTTAGGATGATCTCTTTTATTGCACCACCAGTGTACTTGGGATAAAGTTAAACAAACTTCAAATGCATGACCTAAGGAAGAATTTCTTGCATGCTGAAGCTTGTCTAACTTTAGCTGAACTACATACTTGCTCCAATAAAAGATATCAACCTAAAAAATCTTTGCCTTTTGCATTAGTTTTGGACCATCAGAGCTGCAACATCACTTTTACAGTACGAAATACTGTTCAGTCATTCTTATGGATGCTAAGGTGTCCCATGACCTTATTCTTAATCCCAACATTTGCCCTGTTAGTTTGCTTGCTAGAAAGTTCACACTCATTTTTAGCAGCGCCTACTGATTACAAAAAAAAAAAAGTGTTAAATGAATTTCCCTTATTGTTTTCAATAACTTATGAAACTACCTCTACATCTTCCCTCGCCATGTAATTTATTAAAGCAATCATTGCTGCATCTACCTATGCTGGAGTCCCATCTTATGTTGTAGTCCAGACACACTCCTTGGTTTCAAGAATCACTTTAAGATGTAAAGAAACCAGCATGAGGTTCCTCTTCCTCTGGAGGCAGTCATTTTGGTGGATAGGTACAAACTGGTTTCCCGTATTTTGACCCAACAGTTCCTTATTCTAGAATGGGACTTTTTACTAGACTATATAAGTAAAGGAACATGCAAAAATATGGCCTACTTTCTGCCCAGAAATATCACTTTACATCTGTTCACACAGTAGGAAACAAGAGACAAAATAGCATGTTCAGCCTCTGTAGTTTGTAACTAAACAGAAAAGTCAGTCATGAAAGATATGGGCTTTTCATCAAGTAGGCCTAAGGCCCATGAAACAAATTTACTTGTTTCTGTTTGTCTCCAGGACTCATCGTCCTCAGTAGACAGCCAAGGCAGTGGAAGGGTAAGAACTCTCCTTTTCAGTATGTGTGCTGTTGTCCCAGAGAACTGCTTTCTTCTGCTTCCGTGTACAAAAATGAAATATCTGAGTAATCTTGTTTTTGGTTCTGGTTAAATTACCCAGCATAATTTTCTACTACTTATGGGGTGGATAGAAGGAAAGGACTCCACTTCTCTCTGGTTTTTTATTCCACAAAAGTAAGAAAGAACATTTTCATACAAATAGTCCATTTTGGGTATGGTTACACAGCAAACCAAAAGTGTGATTATGGCACAGACATACTTGGGCTTCCTTAAGTGTAATTAATAAAGGTAAAGATAGCAATGAAGATGCAGCACCATGGCCTTCAGTAATGATTGGCAACCACAACATATACCTACACCCCTAGAAACCTTCTGGTGGGTTCATAGCCCATAACCTACTTCCTGCCTCCATAGCTTTACTCCCAAAACTAACTGTGGTAGCAAGACTGTGGTTAGGGCTATATTCTCACCTTCATTTTACTACCCTTTTTGGCTTTGAGAAGCCCTTGGACACGGAAGTAACTGGCCTCTCGCCTTTACAGGATCCCTCTCCCACAGGAAGCAGCTATTCTGGTGGACAGATCTTCATTTACAATGTTTATGTTTTAGTCCATGTGAATTTCTTTCACCAAAACATGGCAGACCTTCCCTGTATGCAACAAACTGCTCTGAGTTATGCATTTCAGCTGTTCATTTTAAGCAATGGGGAATAGTGCTGGAGGGAGGGAAGGGAAGACATGAAATCATGTTCCTCTTTCACTAGTCTTTCATTCCATAAAATTCATTAAGAAAGTAGGTTTCCTTCTTAAGAGGCCTTAATACCAAGAAGCCCTTTGACATAAAAATAACTGGTTTCTTGGGGTACACCCAAAAGGTCTTACAGCAAAATAAGGTAAGAAATAACAAATATGGATATGGGTGCCATTAATCAATAAATCCAGGAAAGAAACACAAACTTTTAAATAGAAATATATACTTGCATATTATTTAGCACTTTATACCTTTTGTGGTATCTTCACCCTAAAGATAACTGCCTAATCACAGGTAAAATGACCTATTGCAGAGGAATGAGCTCTTGATTTATTAAATAGTCAACACTTTTTACCCTGTGTTTTGCTATAAGGCCTTTTATAAAAGGCCCACTTGGGCTGGAAATCATAAGAGAAATTCTAACTATCAGAATGTTGATGTTTTGGAACAGCTTCCTAGCAGGAGCAGTGGGATCCAGAAATTGAACTCCTGTTTCAATGGAGTTTGTAGTTTAGTTATGATGCCCATAAAAACAGGGATGTGGGCTCTGTTGGATAATCAAGGAGGTCCCATTATATGTTTCTCTGGTCTCAACACAGTAATTGTTTTCTGTTTTCTTTACAGGAAGAATGTGATTGTTCTAAGCAGAGTTCAGTAAGTGTTTTTGTACTTGGTATAGATATGTCCCCTTGTCTTCTCATTATTGAAACCAAAATCCAATTAATTGGGTTAGATGCATGTATTTTTATACCAAACCTTTTTTAAGCCCAAATAGTCCTCTAGCTAACTTTATATTTTTGAGATGACAGAAGATATTTCAGATTATCAGAGAAGGAGGTTTGTATTTACATGGAACTACAACTGTAGTTATGATTAGTTTACCATGCAGCATACCAGTGGCTAGATTCCTATTTTGAAACCATAAATAAGAAAAGCAGTATATTATCTTTCAAGAATAGACCTGATTTCATCGAATGGTGGGTTTTGCCAAGAAAGTCACTCACACAAGGGAGCATGCAGTGCCAACTCTGCAGCTTGTCCAACCATGAAAATTCACCTTGGTCCCCTTGCCATTTCTGCTTATAAAATATATGTGAACAAAGTGCCTGAAGAGTAGATTGTGAAACAAGGTGATAAGTACTGACCAGTCTGAGCCCTTGGACAACTGACCTAGAATACACATTCACAAAGATACTAATACGAAGCTTTTTTTAAACACAGGGATACATGGCCTATTTAGGGAGAGATGACCTTACTTTGGTCTTTAATTACACAAAAGAAAGGTGTCTCACCTTCAGACAGTCCCTTTGCATCTATCTACAAAGCAGACTTTACAACTAAAGCCTAACCTAAGCAGTGCTTGCTTTCCATGAGCTAGCATGGGTAACATCTGCATGGATTTCACCATGAACTAGCACTTTAGTGTGTCTAGTAGTACATAGTTCATGGTGATGCTCATGTCATAGCTAATACCAATAGGGCAACCCATGCTACAGAACCACCTTATGTTGCAGTCCAGATATATTATTTGATTCCAAGAATGCCACTTACATAAAACCAACTGCTTTCTTCTCTTATCCAGGGTTCCTCTTCTGAAGGCAGTCAGTCTGGTGGACAGGTAAGAACTCATTTTTCTCTGATTAGGACCAGTGGGTTCTGGACAATCAGTGCAATGCACACAAAAAGGAAGATGTAGTTATCTGGCTTTATTTATTTTGGGGATCTTCATATTTAACCACTTCACAGAGTAAACAGCATAAAAAGTTCTGCCCTTGTAGTTTGTAATACTAAGCAGAAAGGAAAATCCATAACAGGAAAGGGCCATTTCATTAACTAAGACTTGATTTCTAGAAAGCCCATGAAATAGCAAGTAATTCTTTCCATTTTTTTCCCCAGGATACATCTTCCTCAGGAGGCAGCCAAGACAGTGGAGCAGTAAGAACTCCTCCTTCTCTGTATTTATCCTAATGTCCGTCCCATGAACATCTTTCCTCTTAAAATGACCTTACTCTGGTGGCTAAAAGTAGGCCAATAGACCTATTCTGGTTAAACTAATCCAGATAAGCCTTTACAAAGGATACTTCTGTAATGAGGACAAGCAAGGGTTTGTGTTCACTTTCCTCGAGCATTTTTTCCCACAAAAGCAAGGAGTCTTTTGTGGATATTCTTGCTTAGTAGACTGAAGGTATGATCATAGTACAGGTAGGCAGTTGTACTACCTTTATTGGAGATGCCACTGGTAAGAATAGCAGTGAAGATGCAGCAGTAAGGAATTCTGTCAAGGCTGATAACCAAAATACCTAGCCTCTCAGAGGAATTGTGGTCTGGTTGCTAGCACATGCCAAGGTCATGTTACTGTGTCTTCACTGATTCATTTCACTGCACCAGAATTTAGCACATCACCTTAATGGCACATGTAGATGCACCCAGTAAGTCTCTTCCTCCAAAACAGGACAGTATCTCTGAGTGTACAAGTAAAGGACAAAGTATTTAGCTTCCCATTTTTCAGCCTTCACATTAAATCACTTCCTAGGGTAGTGTTCTAGAATAAACTGGATACTTCCTCCTCAGGTTGTTGTCATTCTGGTGAGCCAGAAACATATTTTAATTCACAGCCTTTACATGTTTCTTGCAGGGAATTCCTTTCACTAAAAATGACAGCTCAGTGTTATATGGAGAGAATAAATTCAAAGTAATCTGGTTTACCTTGGTAAAACCTCCATTTACTTTACCTTCATTTACTTAGTAAATGGAAGCTACACAAGTAGTAAGCCAAAATCACAGCATTTGACTCTGAAAGTATTACAATGATGAGTGGGAGGGAAGGGAGAATTATAGATTCTTCTCTGAATGGAGGAAAAAGTTAATTTATTTGGATTTATTGTTATTTCTTTACAGGTCGAATCATCTGATCTAGTCAGAAGCCATATCTCTAGAGAAGTAAGTAATTTGCATCTCCTTTTTCTGGGTTGTGCCTCAGATGGACTTGAGTTCAAGTTTGCATATAAGAGCTGCAAAAAGTAAAATCACACCCAAAGGTGTATACAAGTCAGAGGTTCTGTAACACCAAGCAGAAAAGCAAAAGTAGTAAAAGATAAGGGCCCTTCCAGCAAACAGGCCTCAATTTTTAGAAGCCCATGAAACATAAATTAATTCTTTCCATGTTTTTCCCAGAATTCATCTTCCTCAGAAGGCAGCCAAGGCAGTGGAATGGTAAGAAGTCTTTCTTTTCAGTATTTATGCTTTCATCCCTATGAACATCTTTTATGTGGAAATGACCCTGCTCTGGTTTGTTACCAGGTATCTCTAAGCCATCTGACATACAAATTCTTGTTAATCTGTTTATCAAAGCCTTTCCAAGGGTTGCTTGTGGATGATATCTTTTACTAGACCAACTGCATAGTTGGGAGAGACTTTAGACAAGGTTTCAGTCACAATGTACTCTTCCTCTGGCTACTCCCAACTACGCAGGTGGACCATGTAAAGATAGGACCCCAACAAATGTAAGCAGAAGATATGGGCTATAGATTGGGGAGAGACAAGGGAAGGAATGTTCACCATCTGCTGTTCTTTCATCCCACAGAAGATAGTAAAAGAAATCTTTTTCCTTCAACAGGCATTAATGCCAAGAAGCCCTTTCACAAAGAAGTAACAAGTTTCTTGTCTTTTACAGGGTTCTTCTTCCTCTGGAGGCAGTTATTCTAGCGTACAGGTAAGCGGTAATTTTCCATCATTGTGGCTCAGTTGGGCTCTAAATCTAGGCTCTTCACTGGACTATATTAGCAAAGAAAAATCCCAGTGTCTTGGTTTCTTTCAAGAAACTTCACATCAGATGCTCCATGTGTTGGTTCTGATTGAATTACCTGTGGTAAAGGATGCTTGTGGAGAAGGGAGGGGAATAAACACCACATTTCTCTGTTGTTTCTTTCCACAAAAGCAAGAAAGACCTCTTTTCTGCCAACAATCCATTTTGGGTATAATCACACAACAAACTGAAAGTGTGATTATGCAAGAGCTGCACATAATTATACTTCCTTATGTGATGGTAGCACAGGTAAAGACACCAGTGAAGATGCAACATCAGAGGCATTAGCAAAGTCTGGCACCAACACCTTATACCCAGATCCCCAGAAGAAGTTTTCTGGTTGGGTTTGCAGCACTTGGTCTCCATCTTTATTACCACAATTAACTGTGTTGACTAAACTACTCGCAGCAGAGATGTTAATTTCCCACATCCATTTTCCTTCCTAGAAATACTCTTTGGCTTCAAGAAGCCTTTCGACACATAAGTAGCTGGTCTCTCATCTTTTATGGGCTTCCTCTTCCACAGGAAGCAGTTATTCCACACTATTTATTTACTTTGTTTCTGTCCCAATACCAGAAAATGGCAGACCTCCCATGTGCGCAACAGGCTGCTTTGAGTTGCCCATTTTAGTTGCTCAGTTTAAATAATAGGGAATAGTGCTAGAGGGAAGGGAGGTGAGAGCATGTTCCTTTTTCACTGCACTTTCATTTCACAGAAGACATCAAGAAAGTAGCTTCCCATCACCAGATTTGATGTCAAGAAGCCCTTTGACACAGAAATAACTGGTTTCTTGTCTTTTACAGGGTCCCTCTTCCTCAGGAAGTGGTCAGTCTAGTGGACAGGTAAGCACTCTTTTCCCACAGCATTAGTATTTTTAGTTTTATCCCAATATACTGCTCACAGGTAAACCTGACACTATTCTGAGTCCTGGAAGAAAAGGAATATCTGTTTCCAGCATAGTTTTGTTCTCACATAAATCTAATTGAACCTTTCTATAGAACAGGGCTTAAAATGAGGGTGTTTACTTTAATGGTCTTGCAAGAAATAATAAATACATAAAGGGTGCCATTTCATCAACTGGGCCAGAAATAGAAAAGGGCCTCTTGGATAGAAATATGTTATTTCATATTATTTAGAACTTTATACCTTTCATAGTATCTTCTCCATTAAAGAAGACTGCGTAAATCACAGGCAAAATGACCTCTTGCAGAGGAAGCATCAATTAGTAAATTCTCAGCGCTCTTTACCCCATGTTCTGCTATAAGGCCTTTTATAATATATTTGCACAAGAAATTAGAAGAGGGATTCTAGCAATCAGTTTAATAAAATTCTGGAACGGTCTTCTAACAAAAGCAATGAGATCTAGAAATTTAACTACTATTTCAATGGAGCTTCATCAATTTGTACTTTAGTTATGATGACATAGTTGCCCACAATGTCAGGAGCCTGGGCTCTGTTGGATAATAGAGGAACAAACTAGACCTCCTCAGTATTTAATACAATAACTGTTTTCTGTTTTCTTTACAGAGTGAATGTAATTGCCCCAGCAGTGGTTCAGTAAGTGGTGGGGTTTGGTGTATTTGTGTTTCTGCTTTTTAACAATATCTGTGTAGTAAGATAATTTCCAATTAACTGAATTAGAGCTATATATTTTTATGTGATTTTTTGTTCAGCCTGATTATTCCTGTGGCTGTACATATATTACTTGAGAGAAGAGAAAGTATTTCACATTATCATATCAGTTCATCAAAGATGGAGGGCTGATCCACAACTGCAGTTATGATCAGTTTACCATGCAGCACACCAGTCAACATTCTGTACCCGCTTTTATAACATAAATTAAAAGAGCTGCATTGCTCCCTGCAAGAATAGACTAGATTTCACCAAATGCCTCAGTTTGCCAAGAAAAATGTCACACACAAGAAAACATGCAGGTCCTCTTTCACTCTGCAGCTTGCCCAAGCATGAAAATCTGCCTGGGAGCAGACTAATTCAATTCAGCCCCCTTGTCGTTTCTGCTCATAAAATATACCTGAACAAAATGACTGAAGAATAGATTGTGAAACAAGGTAATAAGTGCTGACCAGTCTGAGCTCTTGGAAAATATGACCTAGAAAGTAATGTCCCTTGTAAATGTCCCCACTTTGGACTTGCATTTCTAATTTTAACCAGTTGTGGTTATAATATGATAGCTTGTGATTTTATGGACTTTGTGCCAGTCTTGGTAAACGGAGGCTAAGCAAGTAGCAAGTCAAAATCATGGCATTTGACTTTTAAAATATTACAATGATGAGTGGGAGGGAAGGGTGAATTATAGATTCTTCTCTGAATGGAGGAAAAAGTTGATTTATTTGGATTTATTATTATTTCTTTACAGATGGAATCATCTGATCTAGTCAGAAGCCATATCTCTAAAGAAGTAAGTAATTTGCATCTCCTTGTTATTTCCTTCTCCTTTTTCTGGGTTTTGCTGCACATGGTCTTGAGTTCAGATTTACAGATAAGAGCTGCAGAAAGTAAAATCTCACTCAAAGGCACATACAAGTCAGAGGTTCTGTAACACCAAGCAGAAAAGCAAAAATAGTAAAAGATAGGGGCCCTTCCAGCAAACAGGCCTTAATTTTTAGAAGGCCCATGAAGCAGAAATGAATTCTTTCCATGTTTTTCCCAGAGTTCATCTTCATCAGGAGGCAGCCAAAGCAGTGGAGCGGTAAGAAGTCTTCCTTCTCAGTATTTATGCTTTTATCCCTATGAACATATTTTACCTGGAAATGACCCTGCTCTGGTGTGTGACCAAAGACATCTGGTATACAAATTCTGGTTAATCTGTTCATCATAGCCTTTCCAAGTGTTGCTTGTGGATGGTATCTTTCACTGGACCAACTGCATAGTTGTGTGAGAATTTAGATGAGGTTTCAGTTGCAATGTACCCTTCCCTAGGTCCCTCCCCACTTGCATGTGGTCCACATAAAGATAGGACCCCAACAAATTCTTTCATCTCTCATATTTCTTGAACCATCGTGGCTACCACATCACTACTATCAAAAAAATCAACCAGTTTTTATTGCAGAAGTCTTCTTCTATTTAAAAAGAAAGAAACACTTGAACTAAGTTACCTTGTCACTACATCTTGCAAGGATTTTCTGTATCCTTGGTGAATTTTTGCATATTTCCACGGATATAAAGCTTCTACACTGTGACCATCTCTATGCCAAATTTACCCTTTTTTCCAAACAAATGCTCCTCTAATATCCCCTAACGCGGAAGAGTTGTGGAAGGAAGGGAGAATTAGAGTTGTCTATTTTTACTGATCTTTTTTAAAAGAAAACCAAAAATAGGTAAATTAAGGCTGCATACTACTTACTGAGTCCCTCCTAACATGGAAATAAGTGGGTTTCCAAATTTTTTTCCACCTTGTTTATTCACCTGAAGGCAGTCAATATGGTGGAGAGATAGGAACTCCCTATTCCTAATATTTATAATTTTTGTCTCAATGAGGGACTTATTTTACCTGAAAAGAACACAGATCAACGATGTGCAATGAGGAATATCTGTGTTTCCTAATGCACATGTTTTTCTTGAACAGAACTACTGTGAAACATTTCCAGACACACAAGGATATGGTCTACTTGGGGAGAAATTATCATAGTTTGGTCTTTAACGACACAAAAAAGAGGTGTCCCACCCTCAGACAGTCCTGCTCAGTAGGGTTGAAAATGACCTGTGCACTGCCAAGACTGCGTAGTATTTGCACAGCAAGTGCTTTAGCAAGAGCTAAATGACTCTGCAGTTCTAACTGTATAGACATGCCCAGTGGGTTCTAGACAGTCATAGGAGTGCACAGGAAAAGGAAGATACAGTTATCTGCCCTTACTTCTGCCAGGTAGCTTCACATTTAACCTCTTCACAGAGAAGGCAAAATAGAATTTTCATCCTTTGGTTTATAACACTAAGCAGACAAAGAAAATCTGTAATACAGATAGGGCCAGGTCCCTTCTATCAACTAAGCCTTGATTTCTAGAAGGCCCATGAAATAGAAATGTATTCTTTCCATTTTTTCCCCCAGGGTTCATCTTCCTTGGGAGGCAGCCAAGGCAGTCAAGGGGTAACAACCATTCCTTCTCAGGATGTATGCTTTTGTTCCTATGCTTTCACCTGGAAATGACCTTTCCCTGTGGGTTCTGGTTAAACTACTCATGATAAGCCTTTACGTGGTAAAAGAATGACTGTATCTTTATGGGCCAGCGAAACATAGCTGTGCTTCCTTTCTGCACGCTGATATTGAAAACTATTGCAGTGACGAAGCAGCCACATGGGCTTCACCATGGATAAATAGCAAAGTCTGCATCCAGGAATGTAGCTCACAGTCAAGTTTCTACCTCCACATTTTTACTTCTGTGCCTTATTCTAGCTAGGTTAGAGCTTGCACAGATAAGCCTACCCATATAAGAGTCCCACCGTATTCTGCAGTCTAGCCATATCTTTTAATTTCAGGAATCCCTTTAAGACAAAGGAACCAGTTTCTTACCTGGTGTGGCATCCCTCTTCCTCTGGAGGCAATCTTTCTAGTAGATGGGTGCAAACTAATTTCCCATGCTTTTGACCCAAGGATTCCTTCCTCCAAAATTGGACTGGAATAGATGGGTAAAGAAACATGAAAGTATGTGGTCTAATTTCTGTCTGGAGATTTCACTTTGAACCTCTGCACAGAGTAGAAAACAACAGAGACAAAACAGAAAGTTCAGCTTGTGCTTGTAACGCCCAGCAGAAAAGCAAAAGTCACCGAAGAGAGGGGCCCTTCCATCAACCAGGCCTTGCTTTCTAAAAGGCCCATGAAAGAGAAATTTACACTCTCCATTTTTTTTCCAGAATTCATATTCCTCAGGAGGCAGTCAAGGCAATAGAGAGGTAAGAACTATTCCTTTTCAGTACTTATTCTTTTGCCCCAATTAACATTTTTCACCATCATATGACCTTGCTGTGGTGGGTAAAAAGAATACCCAAGCAACCCAATAGACCTGTTCTGGTTAAACAAATCCTGATAAGCCTTTACAAAGGATTCTGCTGTAAGAGGGATGAGCAAGAGGCTCACCTTCCTCTGAAACAAAAGCAAGAAAGCTGTGTTTTTGGGATATGCTCGCTCAGTAGACTGAAAGTGTGATTGTAGCACAGGTGAGGATAGGAGTGAAGATGAGGCACTGCAGGCTTCCATTAAGGCTGACAACCAAAGTATAGACCTAGCTTCTTACGGTTATGTTGCCATGTCTTCACTGCTGCAGTAAATAGTATTAGCTCGATTATTGGTAGCTAGATACTATAACCTATGTGTAGTACAGTTCCACTTTCCTGTTATTTTCTAGACATAGAATTTGGTCTAAAGGAGCCCAACAGACAAAAATAATTATTTTCTTATCTTTTTCAGGATTCCTCTAACTCAGATGGCAGTTCTTCTGGTGGACAACAAGTAAGCAATAACTTCCCCTAATGCTGACTCAGTGAGTCACTCCCTTCCAAACAGGACGGTCTCTTTGAGTGCACAAGTAAAATACAAAGTTTCTAGCTTTCCCTTTTTTCAAGAACTTTCACATTAAACCATGTCCTAGAGTAGTGTTCTAGAATAAACTGGATGCTTCCTCCTCAGGTGGCAGTCTTTCTGGTGAGTAAGGACTGTCTTTTATTTCACAGCCTTGACATGTTTCTCCCAAAGCATTTCTCTCACTAAAAATGACAGCTCAGTGCTGCATGGAGGAAGTGCATTCAAAGTAATCTGTTTTACCTATTAATTTAAGAAGCAGATATGGGACTGGGGAGAGACAAAAGAGAGAATGTTCACCATAGGCTGTTCTTTCATTCCACAAAAGATCATAAGAAAGATCCCCTTCCTTCCAATAGGCATTGATGCCAAGTAACAAGTTTCTCATCTTTTACAGGGCTCCTCTTTCTCTGGAGGCAGTCACAATGATGGACAAATACGCATTCTTTTCTCATAGAATTAGTATTTAGAGATTTGCTTCAGTATTCCTCTTGAATCTGAACCTGCCCTTCACAGCACCTTGGAAATAAATGATTATCTAAGTTTCCAGGATAGTTTTACTTTCACATAAATCCTCATTTAAATTTTCTGTAGAACAGGTTTTTACCCACAAAGTTCTTACCTTTATACCAGAATTTTTTTAAAAAGGAAAAAAATAGGGGCATCACTTCAGCAAATAGTCCAGAAATGAAGCAGGGCCTTTGAAATGGAAATATGTGATTTCACACTATTAAGAGATTTATTTATTTCATAATATCCTCACCATTAAGAATAATGCCAATATCCCAGTTGAACAGACCTCTGCCAGTTTATGGTTTGGTTTTTATGATGTGGTTCCCATCTTTTTTACAGGGTTCTTTTTCTTCAGGAGCCAGTCGTCCTGGTGGACAAGTAAGTCCTTTTTCCCTAGAACAGAATAAATTAATATCTAAATAGCTAAGTTAACCATCTTTAACCTTTTCTTATAAAATGTTTATGAAAAAAAGTTTGCATCCAAACTATTTGATCTTTCCAAATAGTGGGAACAATAATAACTGATAAAGAAGTGTAGCTTTCTAAAATGTCATGGAATTAAAGAATACCTATTAAATGGTAATATGTGATTTCTTACTATTCATAGAGTCCATCTTCCTCAGAAAGTGGCAGATCTAGGGGACAGGTAAACTTTTTTCTCTCTTCATATTCAGTTATTCTATTTTTTTTTTATTACTACTTTAAATTTGGCAAAAATATTAGTGTTTTCCTTGAAAAAGGTGGGAATTACTGAATAGAAATTATGCTTCTTTCTTTTACATCCGGGGACTTGTTTTCTTATTTTGTGTGGTTCAGACCTACTAGTGTAGCCATTTCAGAAATTGCCTTATATGAGTTTTTGTGTATTGAATAGCCCTATATTTAGTTTTTCTTAGAAATTTTATACAACCTAACTTTTAAAGGATATGTATTGGATTGTGAATCACTGAAAACAGGGATTAAAGGTGATGCCCTTCAATATTTTCCATTTTACTAATATGTTTTCTTATGCCTCCACTTATAATAAGCTTTATTTTGTCATGGTATTTTTACCATTTAAAGAACATGATTTAATTCCAGGCAAAAAAGAGCACACTGAAATTCATTTATTCAAACACTCAGAATTTCTTCACACTGAGCTTTATTTTATGGCCTTTTAGAATAAATTTGATCTGTAAATTACTATCAGCCAAATGGTGAAATACTGGAACAGCTTTCTAATTAATAGGAATAGTGGTGGCAAAATGAGCTTCATCTGTTCATGTTAGGGACTATATAATGCATGGCTGCTACTCCATTAGGACAGTGCACTCAGTTCACTAGCCAACCACATTTCTGTGTTCCTAAGGAACTAACTGGCTTCTGGTTTCTTTATAGGGTGGATGTGTTTGCCCAGCTGGGAGTTTAGTAAGTATTTTTTTGTTAACTGACAGGATTTCTATCCTTCTCCCTCCCCCATTGTCTGTGTAATTAGAAAATTCCCAGTGTATTGAATTAGATCCACCAATGCATATATGATAGCATTTTCAGAGTGATTATTCTGTGGCTTTATTTACATTGCTTGAGATGACAGAGGGCATTTCATATATCAGCTCACCAGAGAGGGAGGGATATACATTCATTGAACCACAACTATGCTATAATGTCCAATCATCATGCAGAATGCCAGTGGATTTACTCCTTTTTTAATAAAATGTTTTAAAAGAGCAATATCTTCCCTTCAGAAACAGATCTGATTTCACCAAATGGCTGGTTTAGCCAGGAAAAAGTCATTCATATATGAGAATATACAGCACCAACTCTGCAACATACTTGACTGTGAAAAATCTATTGATTAATTTAAAACTATTTTAATTTTGGTTAATTAAAAACTTTTAACTATTTTAAAATTATTAAAAACTAGAGAGAAGACCATTTTAGCTAATCTTTCCTGCCTTCTGAGCTTATGAAATATGTCCAAACTAAGTTACCTAAGTGTTAATAATAAAATGAGAAAGTGCTTACCAACGTGAGCGCTTGAACAATCAGAATGTAGGAAAATCTTCATGTTCACATATTGGGATTCATTCATAAAATTGATGCTATTCATGCAGAGTAAAAGGAGAAAATAACGTATTGATTATGTCTAATCTTTAATTTCAGCAAGCAATTTCTCATATATAAAATATATGCCTTTTCCCATTAAGCTCATAGTAAAGTTAGACAATTTATACTCAATACCTAGTTTCTAATTATTTTTTACAGGGATTCCTCCAGCAGCTAATGTGACCTATGGGTTAAGACATTTTACAAAAGAATTTATAGTTTTCTGTCAGTATGTCACTCAGTAAATTGAAAGGAATGTCTCTGTGAATGGTATGTCAATGACTGGTTATGTTACAAGGGGGTTTCTTTCCTTTGGATGAGTGCCTGAGACTGGTCTCAGCAAATTGGAGAAAAAGGAATCTGTTGGATTTATTATTTTCAGTTGTTACTTGTGAGAGATCTGAGATCTTTTAATTCAGTATGGTATGTTTTTCTGAAGAGTTCAAATGTTACAGCCTATCCTTCTGTACTTGTGTTATCTTGCATTCCAGGAAGCTGGAAAATACAAACAACATAATGGCTTCCTTCCTCAAATAAACCTGAAGTTAATGATTTACAATTTTCTTTTGTAATAGGGATCTTTTTCCTCAGTGGACAGGCAATATAGTGGATAGGAAGTAAGCTTGCCTGATAGTAATACCTGTTTATTTCCCCTATTCCTTGGAGGTGGTCAGTTTCTGTTAATATGGGAAACGTATTGTGGGGCTACTTTTCTTCGGGTAAATATTTTGAAAATATTGGACAGGAGCCTGTAAAGAAGTTGTCTCTGCATTGAAGACCTAAATTCATTTGGCATTTCCATTTTGGACTGCTAATTTCCCTAGATGTTTACAACCTGGCTTCCAGTCATGCCCTAATCACCAAGCAATGCAATAGGCTTAGAGGAGACAATCTTTCTCCTCTCCACACAGTGATGAAGCAGCCTGCTTTGCAGCCAAGAATGTAAGTATCGTGAGCCAGAAAGACAACAAGGAAGGAGTGAAATGCCATGGTCTACTTTCCTGCAAGGGGATAGTCCTGGATTTTGTTTCCTGCTCCCAGGCATGTGACATTATATGGGTACTGGATAAAAAATTGAAATAATCCAGGAAACTACCCTAAAGCAGAATCAGGCATCACCTCATCAGCCTTTTGTTAAAAAGTTGTTGTTCTTTGAAATAACCAGTTTCCAATTGTTCTGTTACAGAACAGACAAGGTTCCGGAGGCAGTCAGCTTGGCAAAACTGTAAGTAAATGTTTCCCATGTTACTATTGTTGTGTTTTTTCTCCCAATACAAATATTGGTAAATCTAGTTCGGTTATCTGAAGAGTAGAAAAATTTGTATTGATTATGTGAGAACATTAGGCATTTTATTTATCTGAGATAATCTCAGCATATATGAGCACAACACTGATTCTCTATGATGCATTTTTGAGGCCATGTTTAATTTGGTAATAGTTAAAATTGTAATAAGGTATATTAATTGTGGAAAATAATGGGTCATTTCATTATTGAGTGGGACCTTTTATTGAAGAGTTGTTTCAGTTTCAATCCACAGTGATATAACATCTTAAGTTCAGGGTCTCATATCTCAGTTTCTTTACATGCATCTTCTTATGTAAACATTATTGGTTTTCTTTGGGCAAAACGTTTGGATTTTTGTATTAAAGGAAATGGTGACCACCACCTTCTTCTCTGTTTTGTAATTCAGTTTTGACGTAGGTAATTGGAGTCATCTTATTCAGTGTTCTGTTTATTTATATTTTTACCTAGCTTATTTTGTCTCTGCTAGATAATCTCAAAAGCAGAGATTTGCTCCTAAAAGTGATCTTTTTAGTTTATGGGCCAAAATATCTCTCCTTTTATTTATATTCTCCTCTTCAGTGTTTCAGTACATAACAGTATAATCATTATACCTACAGTCTAATCTGTGGGATGTTATGGCCAATTTGCCATTTGCAGTACTTCTTAAATAAATGCTTCTCCCCAGAAAGTAATAAGCATTCACCATTGTGAAAGTCAATTTTTCGGCATCTACTTTTATTTTCAAACAGCCTCCTTTTTAAAATTTCCTTCAAGTTAAGTTGTAGAATGAAGGGACACAGTAGTGCTCACCACCTACTGTTTCATTCCTTGAATGAGAAGTTCTGAAATTGAGTTATCTTTTCCTTAAAGTTATGTAATTCAAGTTGCCCATTTTCTCCTGAACCTGTTTCTCTCTTGCTGATTGTGAAGGTGGTGAAAAATTGGAATAGGCTATTTAGAGAAGCTGTAGGAATGCTCCTGCCTTGACCTTGTGAGGTCCATTCCAGCTCTGTTTTCCTACAATTCTATGATCTTCCCCAGGAGGAGGTCAGCCCAGCAGACCAGTAAAGTACCTTTTCTATGCAATATTTAGCATTTTCTTCCAATATAATATTGAGTAATTTGAAAATGGGACTCTCTCCGAATTAGAGCACAGGAGAATTTTTGAAGGATCTCTTTCACTTTTGTTCTATAATTCAGTTTAATAGTTCAATTTCTGTCAAGTTTTTATATCAGCAACTTTGAAACTTGTTGATAGTGTATTGTAAAAACACCTGAGAGCAATGCATTGTCTAGCTGGGATAACGGCAGGGGTCTTGTTTTAGCAGCAAGGTGCCCAGCACTGACTATTTTACTTTGCTGAGAAGTAGAGAAGTGGAAAACTGGAAGAAAAAGCAGGCACTTTGCTACATATAGTAAACTCCAAATCAGTTATTGTATTACTTGATAGAAGGCCCAGTTTTGCCACCCTTACTCATAAAGATTGAATTTATACAAGATTCTTGTAAAGTAATTTAATCTACACAAGCCTTATTAGAGTTGATGGGACTATTTGTAGAGTAAGATATTACTCACAGGTAGCAACATTTGGAGCTACAAACTGTATTTAGTATGCAGTAACCATAAAGCCAATAATATATGTAGTACATAATAAAATGTAGTTTATTTTCCATTTAAATAAGCGTTCATTCAAACAAGCCTTCTTCATAAAAAAAAAAATTACATTTCTATGGGTTTTTTTCTGTAAGTTTAGTTTTTATTTTTTTTTAAACCCCCATATTAACTTTTGCATAGGGGAGTGTGGTGGACTAAAAAATGACAAAATAGCATTCACATTTCAAAATTACTCATTTAATCAAGAAGGAGGGTGCAACTAAATGGTGAAATCCTGGCTGTATCAGTTACAAAAGTCTTACTGGCCAGGATTTTATTCAAGGATCATGTCTTCTCTTCAAACAGACTTCTACTTTAATGAGCCATTTAAAACAAAACAACTGATTTGCCAATTTTTTTTTACAGGGTTCATCAGGGTTCTTAGGAGGCAGCCAGTCTGGTAAACCAGTAAGTACTTTTTTTCCAACAGTATTTACTCTTTTCTTCTTCAATGCCATTTAGTAAATGGAAACTTACATATTGGGTTACCATGTAGCAGATTTTTCATAAATTAATGTATCATTAGGCCAGGGAATAATATGACTTGCTATAGAACACAGACCACTGGACTTCCCTGAATTAATTCCTCTTTCTGTTGATCTAAGGACATAGGCAGGCAAGGTTATTTGAGTAGATGTGATATCTTTTATTAGACCGAGTAGTAGGGATAACTGCACCCGAAAGCTTGCTAAGAACTTTTTTCCAACTTCTCGGTTGGTCTAATAAAAGATATCACATCTACTCAAA